CATTATCCTTTAAGCCAGCAGTCGGCAAACTGTGTCTCACAAGCCACATGCGGCTCTTTGGCCCCTTGAGTGTGGCTCTTCCTGAGCCTTAGGAGTACCCTAATTAAGTTAATAACAATGTACCTACCTATATAGTTTAAGTTTAAAAAAGTTGGCTCTCAAAAGAAATTTCAGTCGTTGTACTGTTGATATTTGGCTCTGTTGACTAATGAGTTTGCCGACTACTGGTCTAAACCACTGACTAAAATGTTGAAGAGCAGAAAGGATAGAGCCCTATGAAACTTCCATAAGTCAAGTCCCTTAAAGCTGATTATGTTCCATTAATTAGTGTAACCCAGTCCAGCAAATTCTCTTTGCATATTGTCCATAATTATTCATCTTCTCCACTAGAGGAGATTTGTGCTAGGAGGCTTGGTCAATATAATAAGACAAGCTAATTTAGCAGATCTTAGTATTGTTCCTGTTTCTGGAATCTACCCTATGATCTACTTGAATATATCCCCAGGCTTGAAGCAATCGTATTTCAAACATAAAGGTTCAAAGTGAGAGAGTACTTGGAAATCTAGGCATCTCTCCACACCCAAGGCCTCTGGCTGATGCTTTTGTTGGTGGGGCATCTGCAGCCCCACGAAATATATGACTTCTCCCCACATTGTATGTGTCAGGACAGAGGAGAAGGGAAAGGACGTTTTATGCCCAAAGACTGAAGTTTCCTTCTACTACGTAAAAGGCTACCTCTTTAAAGGAACCAGTTAAGAGCCATGAGCCAGAGTCATCACTGCAGATCACAGCAGGCAGCAATTGTAGACTAGAAAGCCTTTTCCACTAGCCTAGATTCCAGTGACTATGTTGAGATTTTTTGGGGGGTGAAGGGGAAGAAAATATTCTTTGACTAGTTCCACTTCGAAATTTAGTTGTGCAATCTCAGGTTGATGCTATTTCCCTCCACTTCATGCCCCTTCTCTCCATATGTGCATATATATGCAGGCCTGTATGTGTGATGCTCATTCTCCTATTCTATAACTCTCATTTGCATTTGGGAATATATTATTTTTGAATTAGTGCTCATGTTTTACTTCCTTGCCTATTTTCAAATGCTATCTCCTTACCAGGTGTATAGAAAATTGAGGCAATTATAGAGAAAATTAAAGCAAGCAGCTCCTTGATATTAAGGGAAGAAAATTCCATTAACCTGATTACCAACATATTTCACTTTGTGCAATATATGTGTAGCATAAAAGCAATGCCTCCCAATTAATGTATGCACTAATTATAGTGATAATTTTTCCTTTTCTCATTGAACATAAATGAACAATGGCTTAATATTTTAGCTTAAGTGTCACTATACGTAGGAACACGTATATAAAAGATTAGTTTAAATAGTTACGTTCTAACATATTTGTTATTATTTTCAAATTTCTACATATCAATATTTTTAACCTGGGTATGCCATTTGCCTGCCTGATTGTTGTTGAAAGGGCCCCCAATTGACCCTGGATTTGCCTTTGTCCCCCTAGATGCAGTCAGTCTGCTCCACCCTGGGAGCCTAATTAACAGGGAGAAATAGAACGAAGTTATGGACCCTCACACTCTCTTTCCATGAGCACCATTTATCCACATTCCCCAACATCCTTGGACAGTCAGGGCTTTTTTAATGAACACATTTCAGAAGCTAAATTTCTTACCTCAATATTGCAGAGGCACTCTTCTAACTTGGTAACAACTTCAGAAAATTCAGGTCTTCCCTGTAAAAGAAAGAAAGGACTTGTCTCCCCAAAGAATAAAAGAAAGGCAACACTGCTTGGATTTTAACATAGGGTATTTGCATTTGTAAAGAATGAGATAAACAAAAATGTATATTTTTATTTAAAATACACTTGTATTGAAGTGTTAATTGAATGTTCCTTTGCTGTTCAGGGAGGGATGTTGAGTCTCCAGATAAGAGTTTTAAGTCAGAATTTGCAACTACATTCAGATAATAAAATAGTGGAAAAGCTTTAATTAGCTTTGCATGTTTTTAAATGGCAGGTTTTCCTCTTCAAAAGGAAAGAATAAAGTGAATGCTAAAAACTATTAACTATTTCTGTGCCTTCTACTGTCCAAGTCTCTATAGGAAAAGAATTGTTAAAGCTAATTTCATAATTAGCTTCACTTTTGAAAATACCATCTCAGATTCAAAGCTAAGATCAATAGAAAACTCATGACCATGTCCTATTTTATGGCTTTAAGATAAACTTTGTACCTTCAAAAAGTGCCATTAAAGACATTGTCCACTATGAACCTCCATGTCTGATGAGTTTGGTTAAACAAACATTTATCATAATCTGATTATATTTCATGTTTTGTTCTAGTTGCTAGGATTAGAAAAGTGATTAAGAATCTATGAAAAAAATTCTTGGAATTTTTGAAGATGTTGGTCTCTTCTGAAGAAATTATATACTTCCTTTGTCAGATCCTAAGGACTACATAACCTATCATTTCTCCTTTTATGAAACTTTCACTGCCGGGAGGAAGATAGCCCAATTTAACATTCAGGTGCAATAACCAACTAATTTAGATTTTTAGTAGAACAATTTCTCCCTTAATATCTAACTCTCCCCCGAGGATACTGCTTCTCCACAGCCCTCCCAAGTGGAAGCTGTTTTCTCTTGCATATTCCTTGTACCTCTAGGTTGGTGGGGGCTGGGATGGGGCGAATGTGGGTCTTTGTCTTCCTCACTTTCAAATGCTTTCTCCTCTAAAAACTACCAGGTTTTTCAGTTATTCTGTTGAGTCACGCTCCCTCATTCTTTGAAGGTTTTAATGTCACTGCTCACTATCATGCTCTTAGTGTTCCATTATCCACGTAGATAATTATGACAATGGCCTGACCTCTGGGTTCCTTGGTCTCTTCTTTTGCAATGATCTGATCCTCCACCTTCCCATCCCTTAGCTCCCTTGGTAATGCCCCTAGGCCCTGTTACTAACAATGATGGCTAGCCCTCTTTGTACTCTGTCCTCTCAAGCTTTCTCAGATCACTCTCTAGACTCCAAGTCCTTTCTTTCTAATTCACTTCTTCTGGAATCACGGTGCCAAAAATCTTTGACCACACAAACCATCTTATCAGTTAAAAAAAAAAAACCCAAATTTTTATTACGGCCATTTTCAAATATATCCTAAAGTAAGAAAGTAGAGTACAATCCCCCCCCCATGTATATGTTATTCAAACTTAAAAACCATGTTTCTGCTAATATTGTTTCATCTAGCTATCTATTGTCTAATCTATATTCCCTGTTTTTTATTGTTGTTGTTCATTTTGCTATCTTGTCACTGTCACTCACTCACCTCATTTTCTCCCTTACTTTGCTTAGATTTCATTGACAATCATAATCAGTTTCTTCCACACAGCCTCAACTCCCTTGCCTTATCATTTATTTTGTTCACTACTGGAAAACTCTCCATGTTAATTAACTACATCTTGATTGGTCTTACTTCAAAATCATGACCCTCTAACTACAAGTGGGCCCTCAGTACAGCCTAGAGAGCCTTCTACAAATTTCTAGCTTACTCTCTCACACTACACATGGCTATTTTGTACCTTCCCCTCTTTCCTCAAACCTCTAGTTCCCACTCCTATATTATCTACCACCTATGTCTAAACCCACATAATCTACTTTCACTTCTATTTCGATAGATGCACTTTGCCTACTTCTATCCAATTCCTTCACTGTATACTAGTTCTTACCGCTTCTAAAGGACATTGCTTTAACAATAATTCTCCCTTTTATTTTTTTGCATCATTGATCTTTCCTTTCTATTATTTAATCCCATCAACACACAGACATACTATAAATTTGCCCTAATTAAAAACAAATAAACGACAATATGATAAAACTCTTGACTCCACTTCTTCCTCAAGCTATTACTCCACTTTTCTGTTTACCAAGCTTGCTCTAAAGTCTTGCCTAAATTTATAGTTTCCTATTCGCCTCCTTCTATTTGCCCTCTACACCCAAACAAGCTTTCTTCTATTACACTCTGCTGAAACTGCTCTTGTCAAAGACACAAAGACCTACCTCCATATCACTAAATGTAATGGCTAGGTCTCAATGCCCATCTTACTTGAAACAGAAATAAATACAAATAATCATTTATTTGTCCCTGAAATATCTTCATTTGAATTTGAGATCATTACTTTCTTATCATGCTTCTCCTCTCTCACTTGCCATTTCTCAGTCTTCTCTTTTGGTTTCACTTCCCTCTATCTTTAAATTTTGGCTTGTACCAGGACTCAGTTTGGAGGTCTTTTTTCCTCCCTCTATTTAGAGTTAGTTGAAGATTTAATTCAGTCTCATGGCTTTATAAAACAACTCCCAAATCTTTACATCTAGTCCAGTATTCTCTCTTCAACTCTAAACTTACACATGCAATTTCTTGTATTCCTAATCTTCCCTACTTCAGCAAATGGGAATTCCATCCTTTCACTTTCAGAGGCCCCAAACCATAGGATAATCTCTGAATTCTCTCTACTATACTCTTGCCTCTAATCTACTAGCAAACCATACTCACTCTGCTTCAAATGTATGCAGAATCTGAACGGACAAGTAGTATATACAGTGGGGCCTTGACTTACGAGTGTCCTGACTAAGGAGTTTTTCTAGATACGAGCCGACTCTCGGCCGATTTTTTTGCTTTGAGTTGTGAGCTAAAATTCAGGTTGCGAGCCAGCTTCAGATACCCCACCGGTAGTTGGCGCAGCGAACATCACGGTGAACGCCACAACATCAGCCCAGCATCATGTGTCTCACTCGTTCACTTTTTGATTTGACATACAAGTAATTTGAGTTACGAGCTCTGTCATGGAATGAATTAAACCATAAGTCAAGGCCCCACTGTATATTGAATCAACCTTACCCCATACAAGTATAAACTCTGGACAAAATGCAAAAGATAGCTACCTGAAGGCAGTAGAGTGAACAAACACAGGTAGAGTCTAGTCAATTGGAAGTAATATATGCCTACATCACAAAATATTGTAACAGATAAATGAAGTGCTCTAAGTGTTTAGTAACTGTTAAATCTCACCATTATTTTGATGCCCTTTTAATCCTCTAATGAAATGTTAACACCATTGTAATTTGATGTTTCAAAAAAGGCCATTCACCTATAACATTGTCACTGATTGATTAAAAAAACTTGAAGCAAATTGTAATAAAAATCCTCTACCCATATGATAAGATAGTTTGAAATAAAATATAAATAAAACACAAAATCATTCATTTTTATCATTCATTCAATAAGTATTTATTGGAAAACTTCTGTAGAACAGGGACTGACCAAGGCACTAGAGATAGAGCAGCGGAATACAATAAATCCCTGCGCTTATGGGGCAGGCATTCTATGAGGGGATATAAACAATAAACAAATAAATATAAAAGTATGTGTTAAGTCACTGATGATAAGTTCTATGGAATAAATAAAGCAAGAAAGAGAGTAGACAGAATGAGCTTGGGGGCTCTGAATATGGTGGACATGGTGAAGGTGAAGACACTGGTCAATCCATGTGGAGAGAATGGCAAATGCCAAGTCCCTGAACGATGGTGTGCTGGGCCTGAGGAAGTTGGCTGGTCAAGTACTAATGAGTGTGTCCTGGAGGTGAGCTCTCTGAACGTATGGTCATATGCTTTCATAGTCTGGTTTAAATTCTATACAAATTAGGGATTCTAGCCACTTAGTTAACATCTTGTGAAAACCCACGATGCTCTTTGAAAGGAAAAAAATAAAATAAATGCTTCAAAAATTTAAAAACAATGCTTCATGAGCTAAATATATTGAAATGATGGATAATAAATGGCAACATTATGATGTGCATTATTCTTTGCTTTCAGGTGGATGGCTCATACTCTTCACCATCATGCTGCGGTTGGTGGCGGCTTGCCCTGCATCATGTTCGGTGTGCACCAAAGACGTAACCCTCTGTCACCAGCTAACCTATATAGTAGGTAATAACACCAATGACTACAAAGCAGTGTTCCGTGTACCTGGCAAATTCATTGCCATGCTTTTCAATGTACTAACTGCTTTCTGGGCTCAGCCTAAAGAGGTAAACTTTTAAAGAGAAGCCATTCACAATGACTAAAGACTGATAACATTATTTTATTTTCCTATTCCCGGTGGTTTCAACCAAACTAAAGGCTTCCAGAGGTAACTGAGATATTTGGCTATTACAAGAGAATACCACCATTCCATATAGTTACACTTTTCTTTCTAAAAGAAAAAAAAATAGATCACTTTAGTTATATTTTTGTCCACACTTTGTACAGATTTGAACTCCACCACTAGCTGGAAGAAACATCAATGAATCAGAAACCTGAAGTGCAATTGTTCAGCATTAGTAAGATTAAGTGATGTACCAGCAAAATAGATTATTATCAAAGTGCATCTAATTTTGAAAGTCTGGTCTTTTTTTATTGGTGGTAAATGAGCTGTAGAAATGCTAACAAGATATGCTGCCTGTATTCATTACATATTGCTTGCTTAAGTCAACAATTTAATAAGACACCTTATTAACAAATTTGAGGAGAATGTGATTTACATCCTGATATCCAAGAAGAGATAAACAAGTTATAAATTCCACCAATGAAAAATTTTCAGGAATAAATCTGAGTTAAGATTGAGTGGAAGAAAATGATTTCTTTCATTTCTAAAATGGGAATTAAGAGGTAGCTGTTATTGCTATTCCTGACAGGAGAGAGAGACAGTTTC